CGGCCCGCGCGGGGGGGGGGTCGGCCGCGTCCTCGGCGGCCTCCGCGAAGAAGCCGCGCCGCGCGCAGACCCCCACCAGCGCGTCGATCGCCTCGAGCAGGGCGAGCAGGAGGGGCTCGTGGTCGGCCTCCAAGAGCTCGCGCGCGGCGAGGGCGCGCGCGAGCAGCGCGACATCCACCGCGCCAAGATCGGCCTCGGAGCCGCGCAAAAGATGGCCCAGCGCGATCAGAATCGAGCATTTGGTGGTGACGGCGGCGGTGGAGAAGAGGGTCGGGGCCGGGGCCGCCGGGGCCTCGCCCGTCTCCGACAGAATTACCGTCTTCGAGCGCGTTTTCTCGACGGTGAGGAACGTCGCCTCGGGTTCGTCCTGCTTGGGGGGCGCAATGAGAAAGGGCAGGTACTGGCTGGGCTTTAGAAACCGCGCAAGCACTTTAATGCAGATCAACGCTTCTTTTTTCACCTCCTCGTTGTCATCACGCATCACACCGTAGAGCGTGGATAGAATGCGATCACAGTACTGGACAATTGATTTCTCACAGTGAAAAATGACGTTCCATAGGATTCGGAGCGCCACGGTTTTGCGGTTATTCGTAGAATATGGGATCACCCAATCGATAGAATTGATATCCGCCAGAAGTTTTGGCAGGAAACTTCGATAAGCCTCTGCTATCGCGCACCTCGTTCCCAATGGAGGACGCCGCTTTAAAATCGGATACCTTTCTAGTATCTCGTCATCTAGATCTATGCCCTGGTATTCGTCGTCGGCGTACCATTCGATATCCTTGGCGTTGATGCGCCTCTTCGCCAGGTCAATTCGGTTATCCTCGTTGTCCATCATGTAAAGCTTGCCAACTTTCTCCAGTACCTCAGATGCCTCCACTCGGACTCGCTCAAAAGGATCGTTCGAGAGCAGCAGAAGATGGGGGAGGTAGGTGTTGTGTTGGTCGAGCCGCTCCTTGATATCCAACAGGGCGCTCGAGAGGACGCCCAGAACCCCATGACGAACCGCTTCGCTATGATCATTTGCGAGGACAAAAAGCTGCGTCGGGGTGGCCTGATTCTCCGGCTCGTCCTTTCCCATCGCGAGGACTTCGGCCGCGCCGTGTTGGATGAGCACGGCCAACGCCCCCACCGCGGCCCTGCGGACGGCGCTATGTTTGTGCATCCCGCACATTAATTTCACCCGCTTGGCCAAGGCGGCGGCGATCGTTTTGATCTGCCGAGGCTCCACCGCACACAACGTCTTGATGACCTCACAGGCCTCCTTCTTGAGCTCCGGAAAGGGATCCTGCAGGCAGTTCTCGAGGAGGACCTGGAAGAAGTCGATAAAATTGCCCGCCGCAATCTCGTGCGGGAAGTCGCTCAGGCAGCGCGCGGCGAGGCGGAGGAGCAGCAGGCGGACCTCCTCGCTCTCTTCCACCACTGGGGCCACCCCGATGCGGGTCACCACCGCGGGCAAAACCCAGTCCAAAACCGAGGGATTTTGCGTGTTTAGAAGGGAAAGAACGAGGGAAACGGCCTCTTCGCGGCAGCGCTCGGAGCCGTCTTCGAAGCCGCGCAGGCAGCCCCGGATGATATCAAACCCTTCCTGTGTGGAGAGCACCTCGCGGTGCGTGCTGACGAGCTCCTGGAGCTTTCGGTAGGTCGCGATCCGCTTTCCCTTGTTGCCGTCCTGCAGCTCTTTCAGATATCTAGGGAGGTAATCCATTCGCGCGGAATCTTGCGGCTTTACCTCTTCGGAATACATATCTAAATATATTTATATTGATAGATATATAAGTTTAGTTATTTATATATATGTTTATGAATGTATAAATATATCTAGGCGCTATGATGTTTAAGTTCAAACAGAATCTTAAGGTGGAGACGTACTCCTGAGAGAAGTGTAAAAACTGGATTTTGAGACTACACCTCTATGGATAAATATATGTATCCATGTAATCTACACACTTCACCTTATTGGGGGTAAATTTTATAGTTTTAACGCGTTCATACTTCTCGGATTTGTCAAATAACAGGGAAAACTCATTGACGAGATCCAGTATTCAAAACCTTGTTGACTTCACAAAAAGCACTGGATAAAGAAACAACTATCAAAAGTCCCTGTCTGAAATGAACTTCCTTAACAGCATGTTTGTTTACTCGTTTCATCATTTTCCTTTTTTTAATACGGATTCAAAAGACATCAGACCTCTCAAGGAAAGACAAGAAAATGCACGAACAGGTATGCATTCCTCAGATTTTTCATCCAGAAGAGTGGACTATTTTTGTATAGCGTTTGAAAATAACATCCTCCTCCATCCTCCTCCATCCTTCTTTTTTTTTTTTAGGGAGGAGGGGGGTTTATTAGGAAGAAAGAGGCGATCCATCGGTTAAGTTATCCGTGATCAGACCCGCACGGCTGGCCGTGCGCGCCTCCATCCCACGCACTTTGAGCGAAAGCAGATTGCCATCCCTCCATCCCGCGT